GAAGAGACCAAAAAAGATATTGTCCTCCAATTGGTATCCGACGGACTCTTCTTCGTTGACTTCAAGTCCAGAAGAGAGCGAAGACTACAAAAGGCTGTCAATGAATACAAAGCAGCGCAGGACAGCGCCAAGAAGAAGAGGGTATGACTCATATGATTGGAGTTATTAGTGATTTGTGTACTCATTGTAATTGAATTGAATTGTCATTTCAGTTGAATATCTGGCAGTACGGAGACATCACCGAAGATGACGCCAAAGAGTTCGGTTATTCCAAGGCCTGATAATTTCCTCCACAGCCAATCGAATCGTTGATAAAATCTATTATTCTTTAATTTTAATAAAATGAGATATAATTCTATAAATAATGATTACTATTATTTGAGATTTACTTTTAAATCATTTAAAGCGACCATTGAATGCAAAGTCATTTAACTTGGAAATAATGCAACATATTTTGAATTTATAGTTTTGATTCGGTTTTTAAAATATACGACAATGTGTTCCATAATATGTTTTTATGACAATTGAGTTTCTGTTAATAAAAAGTATAAAGTTTTGTAACAAATGTTTACTATTTTTAAAGAATTGGGTTTTATTCACACGAATAAATAAATATAAATGTTTTGAATTGAAGTTGCTCTCAGTTTTCATAAAATTATCATGTTCATCTTATTCTCTTTACAGTATTATACTGTATTTAACGGTAATGTGGATTCTACAGTACTGTAGTATGTACTGTATATTCTGGTGGATGATCTCTTGTGCTTTTTAGCATTGTCAAGATTGTTTAGTCAAATGGACCAGTATATTTTCAAACTTTATGAAATTTAAACAAGTCTAATATGAAAATTTTATTTTCAAACTTGGATATAAATAATTGAGTAAAAATTGCCTACATGTATACATTGAATACTGATATCAATTCAATTCAATTCAATCATTAGTTATAGTGAACACAATCAGTAATTTATAAATTGAGATTAAATAGTAAGCATAACAATAAATATAATACGGGCATAATACTAAAACAATTGAAATATCTGTATATAAGTTAATTACAATTAATAACATTAATATGGCTTTAATTTGATTGTCATTTAATTCTCCAAAGAGATTCGTAAAGCAATTGTTAAAATCTAAAAATCACATACAATTGATTGTTTTCGACTGGGTTTTCATAACAATAAATATGTTGTAAAAAGCTTTAAACATATAAATACGGTATAAATACTATGTTTATGCACTACGAAAGGATGCGGCAAACCCTGAATTCCAGTGCAAACAAAACCAAACAAATTGTTTTGTCGAATACGTCATTATAAGTGAGACCTAAGGCCTAAGGTTTCTCTCCGTTGGCTAACCTCCTATTGATATCATCGATGACAACGGGTAAGTCAGCGATAGTGTCGATCACATAATGAGCTCCAGAGCCGCTCAGGGCGTCGTACGCGCGCTGTAATCGCATCCGCAGTTCTGCTGACTTCAGTTCATCCAATTGCTGCTCATTTAGGCCCACATAAGACTGCAATTCACTTTCAAATGAGTTATGCTTTCAATTAATTATTTCAATTAAATACAGATGTTTTAGCGATGCCCACAGTCCAGACGCCCGCCAATAGGCCTTCCGCTATACCATTGACTGAATCGTCCACTTTGACTATGGCTTCAGACATAATGTTAAATGAAATAAATTGCTTACAAATTAAATTTACGGTAATATAAGTATACATTCAATAGGCGAGAGACCCAGTCTTATAGCGCACAGCCATAGCGGGGCTGGGCTGGGCTGAGAGGGGTTGGCTTCGGGTACTTCTTCCAAACATACCGATGCGTCCGGAATAAAGCCTTTGCGAAAACAAACATTCATTTACTGGTATTAATCACTAATCAGTCATTGATTGCAAACCTTGAGTACTGCTCGCTTGCAATAGTATTTTAAGCACTTCTTTAGGATAACCAGTGGTGGAGCCGATCTTGAGGCTGAAGGGCGCTCTCTTCAGCCGTTTCACCACATCGGCCACGCCTTCGATAACATTACTGTATTTCGTGAGACTCGACAAGACTTGAGGTATGAAATTATCGTGCATTCGCTGCACGTCTTCAGTTGTGGGCTCTTTGCCATTGGCTTCAATCCAACGCTTCCTCACCGCCTCTTTGTCTAAGATTTGTGCGATATTTGCCACTCGATTGGANCGCTGTCCTGCGCTGCTTTGTATTCATTGACAGCCTTTTGTAGTCTTCGCTCTCTTCTGGACTTGAAGTCAACGAAGAAGAGTCCGTCGGATACCAATTGGAGGACAATATCTTTTTTGGTCTCTTCATCCACAAGAGTCACCGCTTCGAGTCCTGACGCGTCTTTGTATTCGCTCTTCAGAAGCAACACTCGATCGGCCGTCTCATCAGAGAAGGCGTTCCTCACCTCATCGACAAAGTCGGGGTCAGTGTCGAGCCGTACGAACGCCAGGGCGTACTCCTTAGCCGCCGGACTCGGACCCGAGAACTTGGAGGACGGCATGGCAGCGATGTTTCTGGAGTTAACTGTTTCCCGATTGCCGTAATCAACATAAAGCACTTGAATCTCATTATTCGACACAATCTTCTCAATCTTTGCTCTATACCAGAGCTGATCCACCGAGAACTTGGCCACAACGAGATCACCTTTGCTTGGCTTATAAGCGCCTGGCAGTGGAGGATTGGCCGTCAGTTCCTCTCGGAGTTCAGTCAACAGTTCCTCGAGTTTGGGTCCGTCGTCGACATACTGGGCGTGAAATGAAGACAAACCGCTCGATATGTTAGTGACGATCACTTAGGCAGTGGAGGATTGGCCGTCAGTTCCTCTCGGAGTTCAGTCAACAGTTCCTCGAGTTTGGGTCCGTCGTCGACATACTGGGCGTGAAATGAAGACAAACCGCTCGATATGTTAGTGACGATCACTTTCTTCCTGTGCGCCAAATCCGAGCTCTCCTTTTCGTTCAGCTCTTCAGTGATGGCCTCCTCTAAGGCCTCGTTGTGCTCCTCTTCCTTATAATCCTTCCAAACGCCGAGTTTTTGACGTTTGGCTTCGGCTTCGGCTGCATTCAACTCATTAGACTTATTGATGTCACGAACGCTGGCGTATCCGTTGCGGATCAGCTCAACGGCCAGATTGTGTTGAGTGTTGTTGTGCTCGAAGTACAGCCAACCTATAAAATTGCCGACTTTGTCGATGGCCTCTATGCTCATCTGAACGTCCTTTTGATGGATTCGTTGTTTCACAAAATTATGCGCTTCGGAACCAATCAACTCATTGTTCTTCGGAGAACTGATTCCCACGAGAATCAGATTCAACAGACAGTTCTCTTTGGGAACAAATAGTTTCAGTTTGGAAGACGAGGGGAACACAAACTCCACGGACGCCTCCTTTCGTGCGCTTTGGTTGCGGAGTAGAAACGGAAGATATTGTTTGGCTTTCGACTGGTCTGTACTCAAGTCAACGATACGCACAATACCGGCGTCTTTGTTGTCCGAATGGATCCCTTTGTTGCTCTTTTGGGCCTTTGATTCCGCCGCCAGAAACGAGTCGTAAGCGCTGGCCCTCGCGTCGTCATCCGGTCTATACTTGACAACAGTGGCCAACCCTTTGCTGATCAGCGCTTCTCCTATATTGATGTTAGTGTCGAGAATAACAGTACAACAGGTCTTCTCAGCGAAGTTGTC